ATACAGAAAAATAGTACAAAGAAATCAGAAACAAAATTCAAGATATGAAAGAGAAATTACCACAGAAATGAGTATCATAATAAAGGACCAAATAAAAATTATAGTACCAAGGAATGCATTAAATAAAATATAAAATACATTTGAAAGCTTCAACAACAAACTTGACAAAGCAGAAAAAGGATGTCAGAACTTAGAGGCCTTTTGAAATAAACCAGTCAGATAAAAATAAGAAAAAAAAAGAATAAAAATGAACAAAGCTAGGCCAGGAGCAGTGGCTCATGCCTGTAATCCCAGCACTTTGGGAGGCTGAAGTGGGTGGATCATGAGGTCAGGAGTTCAAGATCAGCCCGGCCAAGATGGTGAAACACTGTCTCTACTAAAAATACAAAAAAAAAAATTAGCCAGGCATGGTGGTGGGTGCCTGTAATCCCAGCTACTTGGGAGGCTGAGACAGAGAATTGCTTGAACCTGGGAGGTGGAGGTTGCAGTGAGCTGAGATCACGCCACTGCACTCCAGCCTGTGTGACAGAGCAAAACTCCATCTCAAAAAAAAAAAAAAAGAAAATGAACAAAGCTTATATGACATATGAGACACTATAAAGTGACAAAATATTCTAATTTTTGGTGTCCCAGAAGGTAAAGAGAAAACTAAAAGAATAGAAAACTTATTTAACAAAATAAGAGCTGAAAAACGTCCCAAGTTTAGCAAGAGATGTACACATCTGGATACAGGACTCTCAGTGACCCCCAAATAAATACAGTGCAAAAAGGTCTTCTCTATGTCACATTATAATTAAACTGTCAAAAGGCAAAGGCAAAAAGAATTCTAAAAACAAGAGGAAAGCATCTAGTCATTTATGAGGGAACCTCCATCAAACTAACAGTGGATTTCTCAGCAGAAACTTTACAGACCAGGAGAGAATGGAAAAATATATTCACAGAGCTGAAAGAAAAGGAAACTGCTGACCAAGGATATGATGCTATACCCAGTAAAGTCTTTCTTTATAAATGAATGAGAAATAACGCATTTCCCAGACAAGCAAAAGCTGAAGGAATTCACCACCACTAGACCATTCCTACAAGAAATGCTTAAGGCAGTCCTACATTTGGAAGCAAAAGGACAGTATCTATCATAATTAAAATACACAAAAATATAAAAACCCATTGGAAAAGCAAACATACAAATAAGGAAGAGTGAACACTCAAATGTTACTACTACAGAAAATTACCAAACCACAATCATAAATAAGAGAGAAAGGAACAATGGATATACAAACAACCAGATATCGATCAATAAAATGACAGGAAAATGTATTAACCACTCCACTTAAAAGATATAGACTGACTGAATGAATTTTTCAAATGATCCAACTATATGCTGCTTACATGAAACTCATTTCACCTCTAAATTTACACATATCGACTGAAAGTAAAGTGATGAAAAAAGATATCCCACACAAACAAAAACTCAAAACCAAGCAGGATTAGTTATACTCACATCTGATAAAACAGACTTTGAGTCATAAACAGTAAAGAGAGACAAAGAAAGTCATTATATAATGATAAAGGGATCAATTCAGCAAGAAGATATAACAATTCTAAACATATATGCATCCAACACTGGACCACCAGATATATAAGGCAAATATTACGAGATCTAAAGGGAGAGATAGACTTTAATAAAATGATAGTCAGGGAGAGGACTGAGTGGCTTAAGGCGGGTCACTGAGTTTCCCAGAGGTTCAAGCTTTTAAGTGGAGGAGCTCAGAGTCAAGCCCCTCTCCCAGCTCTGCAGGCCTCAAATACAACCACCATCCCACCAGAAACAGGACCCCTTTAGCTTTGATGTACCACTGAGTTCAAGAGGTTCCTGAGACCCCCAGACATCTCTTCAAACAACACTACATCTGAAAGTCACACATCTGTGAGGTCCTTAGGGGTATCAGTCTCATTGGAGACAGTGACAGAAGCTGGAGAAAGGCTGGGAGTGCAGTCCCCCAGCAGGAAGTCTCACTGCGGATGGGAAGAGACCTGAATCATCTTCAAACACTCTTGCGTGTCCCATTTTAAGAAAACAGAACCAACGTGTTTCCAGCAAATTGAACACACATGGACGTTTCTTAATGAACTCCAGTCAGCCCATCTGTCGAAACTGAAGATGCTGGAGAAACCTAAGACTCCTCTAAAGTTACAGCCAAAAAGATGTGATGCACCTCCATGAACTGCTCAAGGGATGCTGCTAGCACCACTTCAGTGTTGTGGTCAACAAAGGAGTGGGGTGGAGGAGGAGTTTCTCTCTTGCCCTTCCCTGCGAAGATCGCTTTCCCCAGCATCGTTCCCAAAAATAGTAGCCGAGCTTTTAAAACACACACACTCCAGATCTGTGCTCCTGGGAGAGCTTGTTCGACTCACATCCTGCGTGTATACAGAGCTCTAAATAGAGACTCCCAAGTCTACAAGGGAATTCCTTTTAAGGAATCCACCCAAATTTGTTAATAACCAATCATAGAATAAACACCAAAGGATCGGGAGAGAGAGAGTGTGTGTGTGTGAGTTTGCACGTGTGCACGCATGCATATCAGTGCATCTAAGTGTGTATGGGGGTGAGGGACCTTCTCCTGCCAGAACTTCCCTCCTGCCATTTGTCCTGCCACTGCTACTGCCTACCTACTCTGTAGCATAAGGGCCTGCAGACCAACAGGAGCCCAGGTAGCAAACGTCACTCCTGAGGGCCCAAGTAAGACTCTGTCACTCACCACATACCAAATAAAATGATATATATATAATATACATAATATATTAATCAGTTATAATCTGTATTTCATATGTATATATTAATTTTATATAGCGATCATAGAGAGATGATATATATATTCTGTTTCACTGTGCTTACACTATTTTCACTGCAGAAAAGGGACAAATAGAGGCTGCGGCAGGATGGAAGGGTCACTTGCTTTTACACTGCGTAACTTTTTGTGGCTTTGAATTTTATACTTGAAAAAATTAATTTGTGTGTATGTGTCCTGCAGGTAAACTGTTATCTTCTAAAAAATTTCTGCTTGACTTCCTAATCTCCAGCAGGGACCAAAACTTTTTCAGGAGCTCACCATGCCCTCCCCTCCCCACCCATCCCCAAAACACAGGTACTCACGCACATGCATGCCACACACCCACACAGCACACATATATGCACACACATAGGCCACACACACCACACACACACCACACTGACACACACACACACACACACACACGCATTTGTCAGGAAAGAGCCTTTCACCACCCCCTGAGACCCCTCCCACACCATTCTGAGCCCAAGTGCAGGCAGGGGCTCAGCTGGCCAACCAGGCCAGCATCAAGTCACAATGGACCTGCAGCATGGATGGGAATAGCCCGAGTCCTCTAAGCCTCAGAATTCAGTGCCACCTAGAGGCTCCTCTGTTGCATGATTTCTCAATTCTGAGTGAAAAGGCAGGACCAGCCATTGGCCTCATGAAACAGGAGCGGGTCCCATGAGCCCATAATGTCCAAGGAAGGCACTCATATTTCTCAGGAGGGCTTGAGAGATTGGGGCTGCCTGTCCAAGCTGCTGGCCAGGTCCCCAGGACCTGAAGTGCTCAGTATCCCTTTGCAATTTTGCTCCTCTACTCGGAGTGCAAACTGGTCAATCACTTCTGGAAACTATCTGGCCACATCTATTTAAGTTGAGCATATGCAGCCCCTCGGCAAAGCAGTCCCACTCCAGATCTATACCCAACATATATGTGCACATAAAACTCCTGCCCACCCCAGCTCATTGAAACAACACCCCTGAAAATCCCAGCCCCTCAGCTGGGCCATTCCCCCTTGCAGGGAAGGGGCTGGAGGAAGCTGGGAACCCATGTTGCTCCCAGGCCCAGTAGCATCGCAGGTATGGATGGCCCCCTCCATCCTGCCCTCTCTCTGTCCCCACCCTCTGAAGCAGCAGTTCTCAGCCAGGGATGATTTTGCCCCGTGGGGGACATCTGGCAATATCTGGAGACATTTTTGCTTGGCATACCTGGGGAAGGGGATGTACTGGCAGCTGGCAGGTGGAGGCCAGGGGTTCTGTGCAGCATCCTACAGTGCAAAGGGCAACCCCAAGTGAAGGAGCGTTCGCCTCCAAACGGCAATAGCGATGAAGCCAAGATACTGTGCCTTAAGATCTCAACGGTGGAACAGTGGGTGTAAATTATTACTACTTTTAAATAATTGGACATTTCAGCTAAAGATTTAGAATTAAAAAGTTCTATTACAGGAGAACTCTGTTCTAAGGCAGATGCATTCATCTTGTATTTTAAAAGAACAAAGCTGCCTAATGAAAATGGCAAAGAGTGAGACCATGCACTTCGCCGGCTTTAGACGCATCTTCTTCTCAGCCCGGGAAGCTGTTCCGTTCTCCAGCGAACACCACTTACTACCTAACGACTGTTCCCCCAGGGACCTGTGAGTGCACTCAAATCCAGAGTTTTTATGCTGGATCACTCAAAGGGATAAAAATACATTTCCACTCATTCTTTTCTTCCCTAAAGGTAATGTCTTGTTTATCCTTCCTTGTCTCTAAACAGATAATTTAATTATTTTAACTATTACATTGATGACTAAAGGCATAGTCAAAATGAACTAGCCAGATGATCTACAATAATCGACATTAGCTGTGAAAATTGTTTATGGAACTACTCGCTACCCAGCATAGACGTATTGTGCATTTCCTTCATAGCGCCTAGATTCTACTAGACATCACAGAAGCACAGTCCCTACAAATTAGTGATTTTATATATATATATATATATATATATATATATATTTTTTTTTTTTTTTTTTTTTACCAAATGCTTTCTAGATTGTTGCCCTATTTGTTGTTTAAGAAATGCTGACCCTTTTCACAAGATGGTGCTGAAAGTGAAGAAGGAAGTTCCCAAAGCGAAGGCTTTAAAGGCCAAGAAGGCAGTTTGAAAGTTGTCCACAGCCACAAAAAAAAGAAGATCCGCACGTCCCGCACCTTCTGGCGGCCCAAGACACTGCAACTCCGGAGGCAGTGTCCTTGGAAGAGCACCCCCAGGAGAAACAAGCTTGACCACTATGCTGTCATCAAGTTTCCACTGACCACTGGGTCAGCCATGAAAAAGATAGGAGACAACAACACACTTGTGTTCATGGTGGATGTTCAAGCCAACAACCCCCAGATCAAACAGGCTGTGAAGAAGCTCTATGACACTGACGTGATCGAGGTCAACACCCTGACGTGATCGAGGTCAACACCCTGATAGGCTGTAGAAGAAGCTCCATGACACTGACGTGATCGAGGTCAACACCTGATAGGCTGTGAAGAAGCTCATATGACACTGACGTGATCGAGGTCAACACCCTGATAGGCTGTGAAGAAGCTCTGTGACATTGACGTGATCAAGGTCAACACCCTGATAGTCTGTGAAGAAGCTCTATGACATTGACGTGATCAAGGTCAACATCCAGATTCAGTCTGATGGAGAAGAAGGCATATGTTCAACTGGCTCCTGATTACAATGCTTTGGGTGTTGCCAACAAAATTGGGATCATCTAAACTGAGTCCAGCTGGCTAATTCTATGTATATCTCTTCACCATTAAAAAAAAAAAAAAAAGAAATGCTGAAGGCTCTTTTACTGTTTTATATATTAATTCAAGTTGTTCAAATGCAATCCAACTAAATTTTTAATTTGTCTCACTGTTCTCTTCTTAAAGAATTAAGTATTACCCTTTGGAAAACAGAGTTTGATAAAAGAAACTAAAATCCAACAACTCAAAATATCTCAGCAGAAACCAACATAAGGAATCAGTATAATCCTCATTGGTTGCCCCCAGAGTAATTTAAGGAATCAACATCAAAGTAAAAGTAATCAATAATTTGCTTTAAATTCAAAAAGATGCATACATCCTAAACTAAAATTCCAAACACTATCAGAAGGTATACAATAACAAAGGTCTCCCTGTCATCTGATTTCCCTATCTCCCTACTGTCAACAGTTTTTTTGTGTGTTCTTTCAGAAATTCTTCACACATACAACAAAAAATATATATTTTGATAAATTATAGTTGTGTTACATACACATTGTTTTGCTGGTTGCTTTTTCCTCCTTTTTTCTTGTGGTAAAGTGCACATAAAATAAAATGTACCCTCTTAACTATTTTTAAGTGTATAGTTCAGCAGTATTCGGTACATTCATGTCTGTTTACAGTCATCACCATTATCCATCTCTGGAACTTTCTTCATCTTGCAAAATTGAAACTCTGTACCCATTAAACAACAACTTCCCATATATCTCTCCCTCCAGCCCCTGGCAACCATCATTCTTATAGTCTCTATGAATTTGACCACTCTAGATACCTCATATAAGTGGAATCATAGTGTTTGTCTTTCGGGGACTGGCTTATTTCATTCAGCCTAATGTCCTCAAGGTTTGTTCATATTGGAGTGTGTGTCAGAATGTTCCTTTTTGGGGTTGGATAATATTCCATTGTTATATGTAGTACACTTCGCTTATCCCTTCATCACTGATGGACACTCGGGTTGCTTCCACCTTTTGGATGTTGTGAATAATGCTGTAAATGTGGTGTACAAATATTTCTTCAAGACCCTGCTTCCAATTCTTTTGGATCTATATCTAGAAGTGGAATTGCTTGATTATATGGTGATTCTATGTCTAATTTTTTGAGAAACTGCCATACTGTTTTGCACAGCAGCTTCAACAAGTTACATTCCCATCAACCATGCACAAGAGTTCCCATTTTTCCACATCCTCATCAACACTGGTTATTTTCTGTTTTTGTTATAGGAGGCATCCTAATGGGTGTGAGGTGGTATCTCATTATAGTTTTGATTTGCATTTCCTTAGTGATTAATGATGTTGAACATCTTTTCATGTGCTTACTGGCCATTTGTACATCTTCTTTATAGAAATGTCTATTCAAGCCCTTTGCCCCTTTTTCAACTGGGTTGTCTGTCTTTTTGTTGATTTTTAGTCCTCTATATATACTAGAGATATTAATCCCGTCTCAGATATATGATTTGCAAATATTTTCTCTCATTCTATGGGTCACCTTTCTACTCTACTGAAAGTGTCTTTTTGAAGCACAAAAGTTTCTCACCCTCATGGAGTCCAATTTGCCTATTTTCTTCTTTTGTTTTTCATGCCTTTTGTGCCATATCCAAGAAATCCTCACCAAATCCAATGTCATGAAGCTTTTGTCCTGTTTTCTTCTAAGACTTTTATAGTTCTAGCTTTTACATTTAGGTCTTTGATCCAATTTGAGTTAGTTTTTGTATATGGTGTTAGAAAAGGTCCAACTCCATTCTTGTGTTTGTGGAGATCCAGTTTTCCCAGCACCATTTGTTGAAAAACCATTCTTTCCCTAATGTCTTGTTGATTTGTCCATGTGGGTGCATACAGAATTGCCTCATTCCTTTCATGGTTCAGTCATATCCCATCATATAGAGGTACCATCCCTTTCCAACCTGTCCCCTGCTAAAGCCCTAAATTCCTTTCTACTGTGTTGATATTGTAAAAATGGTAGAGTATACATTTTTATTTATGTACAGATGTGTGTGTTTGCATGTATACACACACACACATAAATTCCTAGCAGTAAAATTTTTGGCATAAATTATTTGCAGTAAAATCTCTGGCTGAAAAGGTAGAATCATCCAAACCACCACCAGATAATCCACTTGTGTGTTTTAAATAAAAATTAATTGTAATAAAATTTAAGCAGTCAAGAGAGACATTAAATGAAAAATGAAGACATTTTCACCTCAGCCCCAGTCATCCTACCCACTGGTTAACAATTCCTTGCAATTTCCTTCCAGAAAAAAATGGTTATGCATATACTCAGAAATATGTACTTGTATATTTTTATTTGCATGAGTAGGCAGACTATAGACATTACTATACATCCCAAATATATTCTAGTACTCTGTTTGTTTTGTATGTGTGTGTGTGTCTTCTGGAAAAGTTACACATAATTAGATTTCTACCAACAGAATTGTATGTTAGAAGGAAAGTTTCCTTACACCAGTGTCATCATGGGGAACCATCAACATTTTAACATTGCCATTTAGATAGGTAAAAAGTATGTCTCAGAGAAAAGAAATACTACTTTTCTTAAGAATAATATGGTTTATGTTCTAGGAGCCAGGAGGTGGGAGGAGAACAAGATGGAACAACTTTCCATCTTTTTATACTTATTTTCTTGTGAAGTGTCTTTATTTGTCTTTTGCCCAGTTTTTATTATTTTGTTGCTTTTTCTTCTTGAATTGTATGTTTTATTTCTTATGGAAATTATTAGGCTAGCTACTATAACAAAAAGAGCCAACAAAATTCAGTGTCTTAAATTTAATAAATGCTTGTTTCTCTCACCTATGACAGTCTGAGGTGAATGTCTCATTCTGCTACACATGGCCACTCACACGATACACTAAAATCACATTCAGGTACTCAGGTTCCTTCCATCTTATTTTTCCACTGTGACTCAAAATGTTGTTCTCTTCTGCAATGTCAACACTGGGGTACAGGCACACCTGTGTTCTAGCCATGGAGAAGGAGGAAGAACATGGGCAAGAGTCAGGCCAACTCTTTCAAACTCCCAGCCCAGAAGTGACCCACATTGCTCTGTTGATATCCTATGGGTTAGAATTTGGTCATATGGCCACATCTAACTGCCAGGACAGCTGAAAGATGCAGTATAGTTGGGCTGTGTATTAACTATCTACTCTATTCTGCCTAACAATATTACCACTAATAACCTAGGGCTTAAAACTAAACATTTCTTATCTCACAGAGTCTGTGAGTCAGGAGTTTGGTTTGGCTCAGCTGGGTCCTTTGCAAGGTGGTAGTCAAGGCACTGGCTGGGCTGTAGTCTCATCTGAGGTTTGACTGCGGAAGGATACGCTTTGAAGTCCAGGCAGGTTGGCAGAATTCAGTTGGACTGGAGGCTTCAGTGTCTTGCCTTGTTATCTATCAGCCTTGCCCTGGTATCCTCAGCTCTTAGAAGCCCTCAGTTCCTTGCCATGTAGGGTTTCCTCAAGGCCAATGGGGTGAGAGAAAATCCAGCAAGATGGATATGACAATGCTATGTATATAATTACATACACATAATCATGTCAATCCTGATACCTTTTCCATGCACTATTGATTAGAAGTCACATGTCCTACCCATACTCAAGGGGAGGAGGCTACACAAGCACATGAACACCAGCTACTAGGGATTGTGGGGGCCACCCAAGAGTGCTGTGTAGGCCTCCTTAGAATCCCATGACAATTATAGAAGGAAAATAGATTTCAGTGGATATCTAGCTGTCAGCTTCCACCATAATGTGTTGCAAATATTTTTCTTAGCAAAGGAAAATGCTCAGAAAAGTGCTAGGTTGAAAATTGGGTTCATACTTTAATTTGATGGTTATTTTGTGGTTGGTATTTTAAATTTGCTTATGGAATTCTTGACTTATAAAAGCTTTTAGTTTGTGTGAAGTCAAATTTATCAATATTTTCCTTTACTGCTTCTGGATTTTGTTATGATTTATGGCATTTCATGAAAGACCTCCCCTAAGATTATGTGAAATTCCATCCATGTTGGCTCCTAAAATAAGTCATATTATTATGGCCAAGCATCCCATTTTTCAGGACATTTTCTTCACTACCAGGATAATTTGTTTGTATAAACTATTTTGCTGCTGACTTGCTTGAAAGCTATTTGTTCACAGTTTTGCTCATCAGTGACTTTTTAAGGTAAAGAAGTGGGATTTCAGCAAATTATTTTCACCCTTTAGTTTACAATTCTTAGTACGGCTCTAAGATAAGCAATAAAATTTCATGGAAAGCTTTTTTATGCAAAATCAGCATTATTCATGTATAGTCAATGATACAGTTCTTTCCAGCTCTCTTCGACCTTTCTTCTACAGGGGACACATTTTTGTGGTCTCAGGTGTTTGCCCTCAGAGGTCACTCTGGTGCTGACTGTTTCCTTCCAAATAGAAAACGATGATTGTGCCAATAGGATCCATTTACTTACAATCCCCTGCCTCTCAGACAAAGGCTAAATTATTGGGAAATCCCAAAGAAACACAGAGTTTCTTCTTTTCCAGCAGCAAATATTCAGTGCGCCCTCTACTCTGGGCCAAGAACTCTGTGCAAAGTGGGTAGCTGCTGGCAAAACAAACAAACAAAAACAAATGCCCTTTCAAAACTGCCACCAGGAAAGGCAACTCATATTTTAGTTCTACAGATTGTACATTTCCGATAATATTCCAATAGTCTTCAGATGACCAAGTAGCATCAAGACCTTCCAGCGTGGTCACCTAGAGCCCTTGTGACTGGACTAGAGAGAAAAAAGATGGAAGGGAGGGGCCGACTCATGCATCCCTGTATCGGCCACATTTTTTGAATCTGCAATACCCAGTGTTTTGCCAGGCCCTTCATAACAGATCTCCGTAAGCATCTGTGTAGCAGGCACCAGTCTCTGTCAGTGAATGCAGGTGTGTGAGAAATTCAGCTCTGTGCATTCCTCCATAGCATGGCTTAATTTCCACC